ACTTTCCTAAGACATCTTTTTCATTCAAGATAAAACATTTGCACCCAAAAATTTTAAAATATGAAACATTGAGTTTTTTGTTATTCCACAACTCATAAGGAGTTTTGGAGAGTAATGGTCTTACTAAAACCCTATTTATGATATAGTATGTCGTATTTACGGCTTCGGCCCAAAAATATTTGAAAAGGCTATGTTCGTTTAACATGGTTCTAACCACTTCTTGTAAGTTTTTATTTTTTCTTTCTACTACTCTATTTTGTTAAGGATTTCTTGGAGTAGCGAAATTGTGGTTGTATCCATTAGATTCACAAAATTCTTAGAAATCATGATTTTGAAATTCATCATCGTGATCACTTCGAATTGATGAAACCATAAAACCCTTTTTATTTTGAACAATTTTACAAAACTTAAAAAAATGCCTAAAGCAATCACTTTTGTGTGCCAAAAAGTAAGTTAAAGTGTATCTACTATAATCATCCATAATGACAAAAGTGTATTTGCTGCCTCCTAGGCTTGATATAACAATTAGTTCGAACAAGTCCATATGGATCAATTGCAATTGTCTAGAGATGTTAATTTGGTTCTTTGGTTTGAAACTACCTTTTATTTGTTTTCCTAGTTGAAATGCATCACACACATTGTTTTTAACAAATTTAATATGATAAATTCATCTTACAAGTTCTTTAGATGAGATTTGAAAGATTAGTTTTATGTTAACACGACCTAATCTCCTATGCCAAAGCCAGGCATCATCATTCAGAACCGAAAAATACATTTCCTTATAAAGATCATCAATGTCGATAATGTATACATTATTTTATTTTAGGGTAATCATAGATGTGTTTTTGTGTGGTTTTCAATAATGCAAGCATTGGATTCAAATCTAATGATGTATCCTTTATCATACAATTGACTAATGCTCAAAAGATTATGTTTTAAGCCATCAACCAACAATACATCTTCAATAAAGAAGTATGATTTGTTACCTATGGTTCTTTTGCCAATGATTTTACCCTTATTGTTGTCTCCGAATATGACATATCTTTCGTCTAGACTAATAAGCTTAGAGAATTGAGATGGATCTCTGGTCATGTGCCTTGAGCATCCACTATCAAGGTACCATCCCTTGCTCCTAGCTTGTGATGGTAAACATTTCTTTAAAATTTGATGATTTTTAGGTAGCAATTTGACCTTGAGTGCCTCAAAAATCGATCCACACAACTTATCATGTTGTATTAAGTCATTTGAGGTTCCTTTAGGAACCCAAATCAATTTATATGGATTATATTTCTTAAATGGACATTTGTACATAACATATCTAAATTTGTAACAAAAGTTGCATTTGTTTTGGGGTGAAACATGCAAGGTAGGGCCTTTAATAAAGATGGTTGGATTTTTATGAGTGTTACTCACAAAGCCGATTCCATCTCTTCTTTTATGAATGAGACCCTTATTGGCAAGGATCATGTTCGAGGACTTGCTACCAACCTCAAATTTTTCTAAGGTTTCTTTGAGTAGTAAGTTTTCCTTTCTAAGCGTTTCTAATTGATTGTATTTTATGCAAGGAGCTAAACTATCATCATGCTCAAATTTTAATCTATCAAAATCACTAACAAGAGAAGGATGTTTCTTTTTTAATAATTTATACTTTTTACTAACTAATTTATATTCATCAAATAAATCATGAAAAGCGTATAATAATTCATCAAAAGATAAACTTGCATCTAATGAACTACTTACCTCATCTCCAATACCCATTAGCGCATAGTGAGTAACTTGCTTGGTGTTAGTTTGCTCTTCTTCTTCGGATGCACTTGAGTCGTCCCACGTTGCTTTAAGAATCTTCTTCTTCTTTGGTTGTTTCTTCTTTGCTTGGAGACATTCGCTTTTGAAATGTCCCGGCTTCTTACATTTGTAGCATATTACTTGTTCTTTCTTGGGTTCAAATTTAGTTTTAGTATCATTTCTAAATTTATTCCTTTTTATGAATTTTTTAAACTTTCTTGTCAAGAGTGCCAAGTCATCATCATAGTCCTCATCACTTGAATTTTCTTTCAAGTGGTCTTCTTGAGTTCTTAGTATCATATCCTTTCTATTCTTTAGAAGGTTGTTCTCAAGCTCTTCATGAGCATTGCAAATCATCTTATAGGTCATTAATGACCCGATTGGTTCTTCGAGAGGAAAGTTACTTAAATCCTTGGCCTCTTGAATGACCGTTACTTTAGGATCCTAACTCTTTAGAAGGGATCTTAAGATTTTATTAATAAGTTCAAAATCTAAAATTTTTTTACCAAGTCCTTTTAGACCATTGACGACATTTGTAAATCGGGTGTACATGTCTCCAATGGTCTTAATCGGTTTCATTCGAAACAACTCATAAATATGGACTAAAAGATTAATTTTCGACTCCTTTACTCTACTAGTGCCTTTGTGAGTCACTTCGAGTATATGCCATATCTCAAAAGTCATTTCACAAATAGACACTCGATTGAACTCATTTTTATCTAAAGCACAAAAGAAGGCATTCATAGACTTGGCGTTTAAAGCGTAAGTCTTCTTCTCCAACTCATTCCAATCGTTCATTGGAATAGAAGACTTTTGAAAACCATTTTCGACAATATTCCTTAGCTCAAAATCCATAGAAATCAGAAAAATCCTCATTCTAGTCTTTCAATATATGTAATCTGTTCCATTGAACATGGGTGGACATGTAATTGAGTGACCCTCTTGGTTTCCTACAAATGTCATCTCTATTGGGTTTCAAACCAAATGAGAGTGGCCTCGCTCTAATACCAATTGTTAGGATCAAGAGCGGCACTAAGAGGGGGGGGTGGGGGGTGAATTAGTGCAGCGAAAAAATTACCTGTTTTAAAAGTCTTCATTTTGATTAAACCCGATTCCGATGAAAATCATTTCTAAAGATTTTAATTTGAAAGCATATAGGAGTGTAGATAAAGTAGTAAGAAGATAAAGTAGCTTGCAAGAAAGGTAAATTGCTCAAGACGAAATACAAACTAGAATTTAGAGTAGTTCAGTCGTTGTGACCTATATCCACTTTCGGATTCCTCCTCCATCGAGGTCACCGACGTCCACTAATGGCCTTCCTTTAATAGGCGAAGACTAATCATATTTTACAGTGCTTTCTCCTTTTTACGAGTTTAGGAAATAACCCTTATAAGTCTCACACCACTCTTGAATGATATAACACTTAGAAAGGGAGGAGGAGTACTTTAGCACTTTTACAATACTTTAACACTTCGAAGACTCAAGATTATGCCAATACTTTCGTATTCTTTCATGCAAAAAAGGGTGGGGTATTTATAGGCCCCAATGGCTTCAAAATTTGAGTAAAAAAATGTCATATCCTCGGATTTCGGGGTACTGACGGTACCACTGCCTAACACGTGACACTCGATGGTACCACCTCCCAGTTTTGGCAGTACGACCACTTGACAGAGCTCGGAGACCGAGATCTAGCGGTACCACCGCTGGCAGCATTAACTGCCGGTGGTACTATCGCCTAAACCACTTGGGAGACTAGGTCACCCAGGTGGTGCTATCACTGGTTGTAATTTCAGGTGCTGAATGGGCTGTTCAATCTGGCCCAATTCAACCTTGTTAAGAGTCCAGTTGGCCCCTAATTAAATTAGTGGGATTACCTCTCAATCCTAACTCAATTTATATTCTAACTATGATTAAGTTAATCAATTAGTCCGATACGTTGATTTTTCTTTCGGCGAATCCTCGACAAACTTCTCGATGAAACTTCCGATGAGCTTCTAGCGAACTCCTGACGAACTCTCGACGATCTTTCGACGAGCCCTCGGTGATCTTCCGACGACCTCTCAGCGATCTTCTGACGACCTCTCGGAGATTTTCCGATGAGCTCTCGACGATCTTCCGAGGAGCCTCCGGCGAACTCCTAACGAACTCTCGGCGAGCTCTCGACACACTTCTACATCGTCCGAATCTTCGACTCCAGCCCATCATCTGTTTTATGCCTTAATGCTATCGTAGTTAATCCTGCATATTTATCTCAACATATATATTAGGTCAAACAATTCATCAATTGATTTAATCCTACAAAATAATTTGATAAGATTTCGAAGGCTTTATTGTCTTCATAATTCAAGACGACGGATCAAAAATATACAAATACATATACTGATAATTTTACTTATGGATAAGCAAGAAAGTGTATATATATTAATATATCAAGGGAATATGTGGGTTTTCTTCCCATATATTCATTTGTAGACATGTCTACCATGCATGCAAAAGTTGTGTACTGGAGTTTTACGTTAGTGAATAAACATTGGTTATCCTCGTAGCAATCATTATCTCAAATCATCAAGCATATACATCACAAAAACTAATTCAACTCTTATCTCCCCGTAAAGTTTTCGAATTTGGAGTGTTGACCATGCAACATGGCTCAAGTAATCAAAACAAAAGTGAACATTGTTTAGTTCAATTTTACGAGGATAAAACTCCGCATGATCGAACCAAACCCGAATTAACTTGTGTTCTGAAAAAAATCAAATAAAATGGACCAAACCTAATTAAAAATTATCATGAGAAATAAATAAGAAATCAGATCGACGGTTATTTTGGATCAATTTTAATTTGATGTTTTCCTCCGGTCCGGTTATTTTAAATTCGTAAAGCCGAATAAATGTGGATCAATTTGGTTTAGTTGTATCTTGATGGGTTAAACCGAACCCGGTTCACCCAAACCAAAACTGCACCCCACGGCGCATGTTAGTCCCCGTCCGCCGTCTCAGACGCAACGAAGCCAACAAAGGGCAATCCTCCAATACACGTTGTTTTCACCAAGAACCAGGCTTGTTCACCCCATTCTAAACCTACATAGCTCGTGTACCCCCTCGTATATTGACACTTCCAGTGGGATCCACTGAAGACCATACGCTTGCCGCTCTGTGTAAGGTAGACGGGTTGGAAAAGGGCGCCTGAACGGGGAACAAAAATAGGAAACCTCCCCTTATTACTCTTTTATATATACTATCCCATTCTCCCCCCTTCTTGGCTTCTCTCCTCGTTCTTCCTCGTCCTCGTTCGATCCCTCTCCGTTCCTCCAAGCCCCTCGCGCTCACCCCCCAAATCTACCCTCGAGGTTGCTCCTTAGCTCCTCTTGGGTCCTTATCTTCCTTCAAAATCCGATCTTGGTTTGTTTTTCTCGTCGGATCCCCGCCGCTCCGCGCTCCCACACGTGATTCGTCCATAATGCTGGTCCTTGAGCTGTAGGAACGATCCTCGACGACATCCTCGACCGCAGCAAGCACGCATGCAGGGGAGGAGCGCGGCTGCGTGACGAGGAGCCCTCGGCTGGCGGCGAAGGCGGAGATGGGGACCTCGGAGACGGAGGAGGCGGAGGCGCCGACGGCCGGGCCGGCGCAGGTAGTTAGGGTGAAGCGGGAGCGTCTGGTAGCGCGAATGACATGCCCCATCTGCCACAAGCTCCTCCGGGACGCCACCACCATCTCCGAGTGCCTCCATACGTGTGAGTCATCCCCCATCCTCCTCTCCTTCGCTTACTCCTCTTTAAGCCTCCTCATCTCTCGGATGTTTCGAGGTTGCGGTCGGTGGCTTTCTTTGGTGTTTGTGCTTTGATGCCTCCTGGTGTTGGGCTCCTGCGATCTTGGTTCGGGGTCTGTACATCATGTTCTCGTGGTAAAGATTTGCCGTACTCAAAATGGTTTTTGATATTGGAATCCAGCAATCATCTGAAAAAGGTCGGATGTATGATATGTTCTAAGGCTTCCAGTTCCTTTCCCTTTGTCACGAGGCTTCGGGATCGCATGCATTGGTTGCCTGTTTCGGCGTCTGTTTTCTCTTACTTTCCACTCTGATTCCATGATAGGCAGGAGAATAAAATTACTGGTTTTCATATGCAGTTTATGGGCAGGGACGTCTATGCATGCAATGAAGTGAATCTATTTAAACTGAATTTGTCTTTGGTTCTGTTTGTTTGGGTATTTCTCTAGAAGTATCATACATGGTTACCTATATGCAACAGAAGTTGAGATTGTATTTGATTTTGTGTAAGGTGCTGACTTATAGAACTGAGACGGAGTCCTTTTTCGATCATAGATGTCGCTCACAGGCTTCTCTTGTGTTGCTTGCTTGTTCCTTTCTGTTAATTGGTCAACTGTGTATGATATTTTGGACTAAATCTCTTGATATCCTAAGCTAAATCCTGGGGAGTTCATGATTTATGGCTGGTCTGTGACTAAATTTTTATACCTGATGCTCATCGTCGGTATTTGTTGTTCATATTCTTGTAATCACATAATACTCGAATCATTTTCTTTTTACAAACTTTGTATTGTCTGTAGTTACCTAATATGTAAGTATTTGTTGAATTTTCTTGGTAAATGCTTGCATTATGTTTATGTATCTATCAGTGGCTATTTATCTCTATATCCTTTTGTGAGATCTGCCTAAAGAATTTATCTCTTTCGTTTTTACTCAACCTCAAGTTGCTTTATTATATTCTTCTCCTACACTTTCCAATGTCATCTGGTTATTGTTAGTCACATATATTGGAAGAATATATGAATTTTCACTGTTAGAAGATTGTTTTATAAGGTCTTCCAAGTTACGTGTAACCATTTTGATATTTGTACTTGTAAGCAGTTTGCAGGAAGTGTATATATGAGAAACTTAATGAAGAAGAGGCAGATTGCTGCCCTGTATGCAATATTCCTCTGGGTTGTGTACCTGTAGAAAAGCTCAGGTAAACTTGTTTTCCTCAGAAAAGTAAAGCCCATTTTTTTAATTTTTGATCATGGTTTCCCATTTTGACTTTGCTATGTTTTATCACTTTTATTTGATCTCAGAAGCTTCACAAATTTGCTTCTTGAGCTGTGAAATGTATATAATATTGTGTACATTTTTTTGTTTCCAGGTCTAATATAGCTTCAGCTTTTTAGAATGATACTACTTTACCGATTTTTTTCTAGATAGATAGATATTGGAAGATTCGAATGAGTAATAAGAAGTGCCAATGGAAGATATAGAAACACTCAACAATATTGCATTAAGTTGTATAACAGGGTTGATAGCTGTTCCAATGATGGGAAAATTACCATAATGCAGTTTTTGTTTAGGTCTTGAATAAATGGGCTTTAGAAATGAACAGTGCTATTATGTTCTTTTGGTTTAGAGTGTGTGCATTTATGCAATCAGGATAAAAAGGTTGAATGCTTGCTAGACGGCATGTTGAAGGAAGCCTTAAAGATGATCTTCTTCTTCATAAAAACGGAAAGTGAATAATAAGTTTTGTCTATATAAGCTGGTGAGAGGTGATGTCATGGAACTCTTGGAGATTTGTTCTAGTATCTCATGTAATCACTGCATATTTGGACTTTGGAGGCTCTGAGGTATCATGCATTAAGGTGGTCAGTTGATAGTGATAGTATGGAATCATACATTTTCTTACCTTCACTGCAAATATCCCATCACAATGCCATTGCATATGAGTTTCCAAGTTAAACCAATGCTGATTATTATCAGTATTTCCATATGCCAGACTAGCACACACAACTTGCACAAATTAGTTCCAGCGAGGAGTTGTATGCAGGGGACCCATTTTTCCATCGTTGTTGTTTTCATCAGGGAAGTGCCACATGGAGTATAGCTTATAACCTAGGCTATTGTTTCATTAATCGAAAAGGCATGAAGGACTCAGGGAAACAAAGGGAACCTCACAAAATCTGAATGTTAGATAGATGCATCGTAACAGTAGGAAAGATTGTTGAACATGTTAAAGAAGGTTGGATTGATCACAAAGGGCATAGTATATGAGAACCTGTTTGACCTTTAGGATCTGCTTGTTTTTGTTTGGAGACTAAGAGAGCAGAGTCTTACAATGGGTTTATGACAGTTTAAGCTTTAAAGTAGATCCAGTTTATATTTATGTTGAAAAGCTCAGTGTCATGCTATATGGTGAGACTAACCAACTGAGCACTATATTAAATGATCTGTGTATCCAATTTAGCTGTTATAGGCAATGACTTCAAACCAAAACTGTCATTCATCTCATTATTATTGCTTTCCAAACTAAACCAATAAATATTTGTGTTATGTAATAGTGGTGTCCCATGACTTGCTAAAAGCTAGCCTGATTGATAAAAAATGTTGTGTCATCAGTCCAGAGCCCACCTGTGTTTAGCTAAAAATAAGGTTTAGAACGGGTGCAGCATAGCATTCTTGACAGTATCTGGAGTACTTCCTATTGTAATTTGCAAAATTCTGGTTGTTTGTAGCTTCTAATATGTGCCTTACCTGTTATATATCCTTTTCCTCGAGAGGCAATGATTTTTAAAATTTTTTGATAACATATTGTAATTTTATCATCTTTCTTCTGCTATTATCTTTGGTATTGTAATTTTGTTTTTGTATGTGTATACATCCACATGCAACAGACATTTATATTGATCTACTTTAGCTCCATTTTCTATTCTCAGACCTGGCATAGTTTTCTGTTTTTTTGGATGAACTTGTTGTCTTCGAGAGAAGGTAGCCCTTTCCTTCTCTGATAATTTACTGAATTGAAAAAATACTTTTGGATAATGTCAAGCTTTTGTAACAAAGTAATATCTAGTGGTTCGCTCAGCAGACTTAGGATATGCCAGATTCTTGTGAAAAATTAGCACATGGAGAATCTGTTTTTGAGTTCACTACTCTTAAGGTTATACTGTGATATTTGTCTGTTAGTGCTTGTCTCATAACTAAATCATATGCAGAGCTGATCACAATCTGCAAGATTTGAGAGCAAAGATATTTCCTCTCAAGAAAAAGAAGGCTGGAGCTCCTGATACAGTTCCTTCCATTGAACTGCCTGTTAAAAGAAAAGAAATATCTCTTTCTTCATTGGTTGTGAACAGTCCTCGAATTGCTACACAAACTGGTCTGACAGGAAGGCGAAAAAAAGTAGTTGGCAGTAGGGCTGCCACAATTCATGGACGGAATCCTGCTACTGGTGAATTCAATAAAAATGAGAATGATATTGTTGATAAGTCAGCCAAAAAGTCAAGCTCAAATGGGAATCCAAGCAGGCTGATCCCAAGCAGAAAACAGGTTAAAGACATGATATTATATTCTTCTTTTTCTGGCTAACCAAGCCACAAGTGGTCTTTTGTTTAGATTCTTTTCCTTTCAAGAATTATGTTCACTTATAATTCGAAAAACATTTTCAGGCTTCTTCGGGTGCCGAGATATCCAACAACCTTGCTAATAAAAATATAGAGAATGGTGGAAAACCCCTTGTGGATAAGGCAGAGCTTTGGAAACCCTTAAATTGTTTGGTTGAAGCCGCAAATAGAACAAAGTCTTTTAGGTCCAGCCCACACAAATCTGTTATTAAGGCAGAGGAAAAAAATGTTTCTGATAGTGAAGTAAATATTAACAAAACTAGGGTTGAGGAACATATTCATAAGTCCAAAGTAAAAGATGAGAACTTTGACAATGTTAAAATGCCTCCAATGACAGCAAAGGCCAGAAGGATAAAGGGAGTCGGCCAGAAAAGGAGGAAACTTGCGAACTCCATTCAAATGTTGCCTGATGCTGCAAATGCTCAAAGTGATAGGAGGATAACTCCATTGTGGTTTTCCTTAGTTGCTTCTTTTGACCAGTTATGTTGCTTGACACTTGGCAATTGTCATTATCTGCCTGACACATGCTTTTGATATATAGTTGTGCTTGTACTTATCTCATGTGAAATGGTTTCAGGACAGGAGATTCCTCATTGCCCCAGATATCAACTAGTTATTTAAGGATAAAGTGAGTCATGCTTTATTATCATGCAAACATGCTTTTTTAAAATTCCTTTTGAACATTTTTAAAATTGTGTTGGAATGTAGCTGTAGTTTCTTTACTAATGTAAATATTTGCCCAGTCTTTTTTGTGAATATTGAAGTTGTAAGAAAGAACAGAGTGAGAAAATAAACAATCAATTTACTGATTAATTAATGGTGCATATAATTACAATTTACTGGTGGCATGCATGATTTACATAATCAATCCATGAAATGGGCAACAGTTTTATCTGTATCTACAGATACTAGTTGGTTATATGTGCAAGTGGCTAAGTCAGTTCTGCTTGGTTGTCTGATGGTCTTTTTTGACTAAATAACAAGTAAACTTATAACCTCAACTTCTTATTTGTTTGGTTTGCTGATACTATGAAACAACCTGAATAACTTGTCAAAATTAATAGAAACGTATCAATGAACAGATAGCAAGTAATCCATATTACCTCAAGAAAGAAGCACTACATGCAGTTAATATATCTCCATGAAGTTACACGTGGTTAATATATTTCCACAGAGAATTACCTTGAAGATTGTAAAGCAGACTGAAAAAATAAGTTCATCAGTGTACTAAAGTGCTGAGTTGGTAAGAACCCCAAGAGGATAGACACTTTGGCTCAGGCTTACTGTGGTTACTTCAATGAGATGGCTTGGTACAGTTGAAAATTCTCTTCCACTGAAGTGCAAAATATTTGTACCATATTTTGAGTATGATACTATAATGGGCGCCATGAAGTCTAGAGAACATATGAGTCACATTAAGTCAATTGTGTTTTGACTAAAGTCATTTCTAATTCTATTATTTCTCCAATGTTGTCTCATGTCTGTTGATCCTTCAATCAAATTTTATGCCGGGTCTTTAATCATCTAGTTTATTAATTTTCTATTGTTCTTTCCTTTTTGTTTGATCATAGAGATGGCAATGTGCCAGTTTCATACATTCAAAAGTACCTCGTCGTGAAGCTTAATCTTGTCAGTGAAGCCGAGGTGAGTTTCTCTCAAAAATAAATAAATACTACTTTGCGTATTGCACAAAAGTGACATTCATGAAATCATGAGATATTATTCTACTAATTTGTGCTTGCTTGTAGCAATCATAGAAATTTGGACAGCGTGCTTCGAAGAAAATGCATTTGCAGAGAGCCATTTGCAATAGACAATAAATAATCCCTTTGATGCAGCACAAAAAGAGAATGAAGTAAATCTAGTTGACTTATATAGTTATGTCCATTTTCTGCAATCTTCAACAAATTGTCAAGCAACTGCAGACATTAAAAAATATTCTGTATAGGATAAAGATAATAGTACAATAAACTGAAATATTTAGAAGTTTTCCTTTTAGCTGCAGTTTGTTCTTGGAGCCAATTTGCATGGTAAATATTTGCTGGCAGAAACATCCAGTATTTTTATGGTTAGGTTATTCAAAAAATCAATTATTTAAAGTTCCAAAATTTGAGCTCAAAATTGAAAAAATGTATTATTTTGTTTATGTACTTACACTTCATGGTTGTTACAGGGGAAGCTAGAATTGCTGGCTATTATTTGTTTCCTTTTGGTTTCTTTGCATTTCTTTATGCAAGGTTCTAAACACCACTACTAGTATCCATATTGGAATATTGTTGATCCAGTATGTTTCAACAAGTATGGTATGTATGCTATGATATCCCTTGCTGCACAGTGAAGAAAAAAAAAAAACAATATTTAATGTGTCAGTACAAGAGTGACACTGATAAATTAGACCGTTCAATAAAAATCTATTCATAGATGGACTGCTGCAATGATATCTCATTGCATTTATTTACAAGGATGGGTTCTTTTACTGAATGTCTAAAGTCGGAAGGCATGACTTTATATGATTCTGAGCTGTTGCAAACCTTCTCTGCTTCTTTTTAAGATCAGCTGTTGAAAATTTTCGATAGATACTGACATTCTATCCCCATACTTGCTGCTCTATGTTGCTGTCAGCATACATAGTTAAGGATATCACCCAGCCTGTGGTTTTAGATATTGCTCTTGCATTCTAGTGCCATCATCTTTTCCCCTGATTCTTCCTTTTCATATTTGTGTTCTAGATCTTGTGCTTCTTATGGAAACATGACCTATCAATTTACAGTTATGTCTAACCAAAGATTCTTGTAATCTTGAGATGCTAAGTCACATATTTCAGTATGTTTATGTAAACAAATTGTGTGCAGAAAGAAAGCACCTTGTTTCATTTCCTCCTTGAAGATCCCAGTCCTGGTAACTTTTGACTGCAAACAAGCAGCATGCTTGCATTTGAGTGATGGTATCGGTTCATTTTCTAGGTGAATTTTGAGTAACCAGCCCATTTATAGCCCATAATTAGGTGTCACTGGGCTTTACTTGTTTTCCACTTAGATTTGTTCCTTTATGATTTGTTGGTAACCGATGTTCTATTTTATGATATTCCTATATACAAACTGGCAATTCAAGCTAATTCGTCCTCAGAACATTTTCCAATTCCGAACATTTTTTGACATTCATGTCTCAAACATAGTGGGCGAGCTCTTTCTATTTGCTTCAGTTCAGGTGAAGCTACTTGGTTATTGTCACTAATCCTTGATTGGTGAAATGCTCAGTCTCTGTCAAAGACATATGGATGAAGAAGTAATGAGTTTGCAGATAATGGATGAAATGGAAAATGAGTCTTAAACTCCATCAGTCGGTAAGGCTGAACTTGTGGACCAAATACTCTTTGATTATGAATCATCTGGGTGAGTTATATCCAATTAAAACTGAGTTGATTTGAGGGAATTATATGAAGATGTACACACACACACTCTTCAAATCTCTTTGATGCACATATGAATCATCTTTTTGTTTTTATTTTTGACAGGTAATCCATATCTCTACCTTATCGTACTCATTTTCCTTTTGTTAAATGCACCTATATTGACAGACATCTCTTGTAATTACTATGCCCAGATAGTTTCCTTGTGTTCAACTCTCTTGTGTTTACAGGTGGAAATCACATGTCGTGGCGAAATGGTGAGGCCCACGATGTCTCTGCACAGCTTAGTAAGACAGTGGCTGCAAGGGGGAACACCACAGAGGCTGCAGGCAGTTATTGGGACATCAGCCAAAGAATTCGTGGTAGTGCTAGGCTACAGGCGCTGCAGGCTTTCAGCCCAATGAATGCAAAGCAACAACAATCTCGAACAATATTTCAATTGAAACGTCCCTTGCCTGCTGATTCTTCGGCATTCAGGGGTGGTCAAATGGACCTCCCTCTTGCATCTGAGGTGCTTCTCATATGTTTGATCAGCCTCTTCTCTTTATAAATGTATGTGAGCAAATGTTTTACTTCATGAGAATGTATTCTTATTCGTATAACTTGGTCTATAAAAGTGGTGCTGTGTTACTGACCTTAACAGGAGGAACCACTTTGTCCTCAGTTTAGTGGTTATGGGGTACATATTAATATGCTCTCATCCTAGGTTTCAAGGAAAGGCAAAGCACTTGATTTTACTACTATTTGTCTGTATATTTCTGATGGAAGAGTGTGCATGCTTTAGAATTTTCTGTTCACCACTGCTTTCTTTTCTGCTCCAAAAGCAAGGAAAATGCATTGCCATTTTTGAATGCATTTTAAACAATTTATCATCTACATTGGGTACTTGGAAACTACAGGAGTCTGGAAAGCTTCTTTATCATAATGAGGTGGTTAGTTGTTGCCATTCTCAATTATAGATTGAAATGGTTTGGAACATAACAAGGAAAGTTGAGCATGTTGATGTTATCATCTGTAGTCACAAAGTAGAAATAAACAGGAGGTTAAAATATTATATCTAATTCACATCAAATGGTTCAGGTTTGTTACCAATTTTTTAGCAGATTCATTCCACATGTATATATAGACATATCTTTGTGTAAATAAAAAAGAGCTCTAGGGCTAGAAAATAAAATATCTTTGTCCACTAGTGCTACATAAAATATTTCTAACACTTTGATAGAAACACTCACTCATTATGTTAAATGAAAAAATATTATTAGGGGCATCATTTTTCCTATTTGGATAGAAACACTCACTCATTATGTTAAATGATATCAAAATTAAGATAGAATTTATTCTTTAGTATTTTTTTTGTTAAAATGGTGTGATCTAGTTTGAATCAAAATTTTTAGACCCATAACAGTTTTCCTCTTCCTTGGCTGCTTCCTTTTTCACCTTCGTCTTCGTCTCTTCTATTGCTATTCCCCTCTTATCTTCCTTCTCCCCTTCTTCCTCCTTCTCTAAAAATATTTCTAAAATCTTCCAAAACTAAGGGAAAAAATATGAATAAGTATTATAATCATATATGGGTGCAGATATAAAAGTTTAAGATGCTTCTGATAAAGTTTTGTGAAATGCACTCAATTTTGAATTAAAATATATTCAAAAGCAAAATCTTGTATTGAATAGATTCTATATGAACAAGTATCTTCAGTTCATTTGTGATTGTAACATGTCAACTTCTACCAAATGATCTCAAACTTTCATAATTCTAGTAGAACATGATTCCAACAAGGATTTTAATAGATTTTTTTGACAATTTTTGGATAATCAATTTTCATATTTGGCACTAGTTGTTTTAAATTTTATGATAAATTTAGAATAATTAATTACCTAATTTGGTATATATTTGAGTAAGCCTAGTGAACGAGTTTATTGAGTTCTTTTTCGAGTATAACGGTCAACTTTCACCAAATCTTCTCAAACTTTGAGAATTCCATTAGGATAGCATTCTAACAAGGTTTTTAGTAGGGATTTTCTTATGAATTTAGGATTATTAATTATCAAATGTGGTGTTTTTTTTAGGCTATATGAACGAGTGTAATTTGATGATTATAGTAAGTTCCATAACAAGGATTTTTTAGTATAGGATAATCTATTAGAACCGTATAGTAAGTTCATAACAAGGATTTTAGTAAGTTTTCACAATCTCAAACTTTCACAATCAATTAGAACCGGATCGATTTTAGTAATTTCTTGTAAAGATAATTATTTATGAATTTGGCATGTCTTTAGTAGAATCTCTGCATAAGTGTGTTTCAGTGTACTGAGGTTTCTAATAAAGATTGTACTATTTTTTTATATTATGATAATTTTAGAATAAATCATTGTTGATTTAGTTCGTTTTCAAGTGTAACTCATCAATTTCAACCAATTCATCTCAAACTTTTATTATTTTTAAGACCATAATTCTAACAAGGATTATACTGATTTTTTATATTATTATAAATTTAGATAACTGTTCTTCTGAATGAGTATATTTTAATTTATTTTCAAGTTTAAAGTGGTTAACTTTTATCAAATGACCTCAAACTTACATAATCTGTATAATAAGGGTTTTAGTATAATTTGTATTTTATTGTTATAATTTTTAAAATTTAATTATTAAATTTTATATGTTTTTATATAGTTCTATGAACCAGATTCAATTCACAATTCTACTATAGCATAATTCTAACAAGAATTATACTAGTTTGTTAATCGTTTTATGAGAAACTGAGAATAATTAATTTCCCAATTTGTTTTTTTTTTTTGGGTAAGTTGTGTGAACTAGTTTATTTTAGTTCATTTTCAATTGTAATAGATCAATAATTTCCATCAAATGGCCTCAAACTTTTGGTAGTTCATGTGAAGCAATGTAATTCAGTTTATTTTTTAGTGTAATAGATTAACTTTACTCAAACTATCTTAAACTTTCACATTAGAGCATGACTATAATAAGGATTGTGCTGTTTTTATTTTATTTTATTATGAATTCTGGATAAGTTCGATTGTATTTGAGTTCGTCTTTGAATGTAACATAGAAAACTTGGACAAAACCATTTCAAACATTCACAATTATACAGGAATATTAAATCAACGAGGATTGTACTATTTTTTTTTCATTTTATGATGAATTTAAAATTATTTTTTTATAGAAATTGACATATTTTTTTGATATATTTTATGAATGAGATATTTCAATTTATTTTTGAATATAATAATATGTTTTTTGAAAATTCGAAAAGGATAGGGATGAGGAAAAGGAGAAGTAGAAGACAAACGACGAGGGGATTGAGAAGGAGAGTGAGGAGACCAGAGATTGAGACGAGGACAGTGAAACAGAGATGAAGAAGGAGAAGAAGGCGGAAGAACGATAGATAGGGCAGGAAAGAGGAGGAGGGTTTAAGAAATTTTGAATTGGTTGACTGAATGGAAACAGTTTACACAATTACGAGGGTTAAACTGACATTTCATGTAAAAAAAGATTACTGGCATCATTTGTTAATAGATTATTCGTTTTTTTAAGATAACATTTATTCATTCATGAATTACGAAAAGTAGAAAAATGATGAGATAGCAAGGGATCATCAACTTCGATCAGCTTCAACTACATTGATGAAGCGAGCAGTAGAAAGACAACCTGTGATGTGATGATGGTGCCGATGTTCCAAGAAACTTGTGCAGGATTAACGCGGCAGTTGATGAATTGTTGTGACGCCCCTCAAATTGCTGGAAAAGTTCAGTTTGATCATTCAGCGTAGCCAATCGCTGCACCAAATGGAGAATGGAGTCGGGGGGGCAAAGAAGATGTGTTCTATGGAAGCAGAATGTTGATGTTGATGAAATAAATTATCCATTTATATATACATATATATGTGCAGTTTATGGAAATAAATACGAACAAAAAGATCTTACTTATGAGGGATATATATGTACTTTGCCGAAGGAGTGGAAGAATTAATTAGGTCATCGTCGGCGGACAGGTTCGGAGCCGCGTGTGGTTCGTCGAGCGAGGCATCGGTTCCAAAGATGCAGAAGGTAACCCTAACCTAACTCTTTAACTCTAGACGGATGTTGTCTTCCTCGAAGCTTTTAGCTTTCTGCCAAGAGCAACCGGAAGATCTCTAAAAGACTTGATTTCGGTGCGGTTTCTAAGGGCGAAGGATCGGAGGCTCAAGTGACCTGGGAAGATCAGCAGAACATCAACAAGTTTGGGAGGTTGAACAACAGGTTCCACGAGCTCGAGGACGAGATCAAAGTGGCCAAGGTGTGTGCGTGATTCCGTATCGGTCTCGCGTTTGTTTCATGTATCCCCTTTTGATTCAGTCCAGTTTCGATGTTGTTGTTGTGCAACTCATGCGTGTTTTGATTCTTTAGATCGGTAAGAGGTCAAATATTCAATGCTTGTTTTTTCCCCCTTTTTATAGTTTTTTCTCTTTTCATCACTAAAATTAACAAAATAGATCGTTTTCCTCGCTTCGAAATGTTTAACCGTGTTGGATAGAGAAGAGCGCTTGTTTGATGCCTATTTTGGCTTATCTTTCTTTCATTCGGATACAACCAGCTTCCTGTTCGAGTTGATCTTTCAGCATCTTGTAACCCCGTAGTTCTTTGTTGCATGATATTTATCTACACAATTGGCAATGATTTTCTCTATGCATACCAGTTGGCAAAGGTGGGGTTTCTTCTTGTCTGTCTCCCCTTCTTTTAGCGACGGTTAACCAATTCACAGGAGATTTTCTAAGCGAACATATGTTCATCGTGTTTTTTTAAGTTAAAATGAGGCCTTAGCAATTGGGTGAAGCTGTTCATTATGCTAAGATATATAAAAAAACAGAAAATTATACGTCTTTTTGCTCATTATATGTCATTATTTTTAATAATTGAGTTTAAATAATAAATGCTTGTTTACGGCTGAAACTTATCTCGTGATTAGGGATATTATGGACAGACAAATGTTTTCAACTTGGTCGAATTGGTTGAAGGTCAAAAACTTTGGTTAAGGGTTCATTTGAGACAAAACTTATCCATAAAACTGTGATTGTATTAAGGTCTGCATAAAGAAGTTTTTTCTTTCATGTATTTGACAATCCATTTTTGTCAAAAATCAGTTGGTTGCAGCTCTTTGGTTTTGCATCTTCCAATGTTGGAGAAATAAAACTTTCAAGGGAAGTAAGAAATGTGAAACATAATGATAGTAATATGTGAGTGACATAATTTGGAGAGAGCTCTGAAGTTAATCGTGGAGAAAAAGAGAACAAGCGATTGGTAATGGATGAACAAAATGTGCAAAATAAGTAACACTAGTTAGAGCATTCATGACTAATGATGTGTTGAATATCCATGATTCAGCATACATTCTTCTGTTGCTTCTATATCAATCTTTTAGTATTTGGTGTCCACTTTTGCTTTTTCATCATATATTTTGAGCACATAGAGGGATGGGGTTTAACTCTTTTTCTCGATTTATTTTCATTCACCACTCTTTGATTCTAACAAAGCATTCTAGAAATTGTAGTGGTTCTTGAGATTCTTTCAAAATGTGTTTAAATACTTGGTGCATTGTCATTTTCCTCCTCTGTAAGCAAAACCTAACCCCCATCCTAGAAGGCATGTATTGCATGTAATTTCCTAGCTCAGAAATAATTTCTTAGATTACCTCCTGAAATGTGCTTCTTGCTCAAGTTTCCGAATCTTCAATATTTCTACAAGGACACATGGTATCTTGTGACGTATACTTCATCTATCCATCATATACATTAAATACCTTATAGGAGTAAGTAAATGAGTCTTGTATAGTCCCTTTCCCATAGCATATCTGTATAGGTGATTGAGTAGCTTGCTTCTTTTTATTTCTGCATTCTAGTGATCATAGATGTAAGCTTCTTTATCTCCAAGTAAAAAAGGTATTTGTTTTATAACATCTTTTCCAATAGCGAAACTTTGACAGAGTTTACGTTCTCCTGGAACCTAGCTATATATTCTTTTATGTTAAATAGATACAAAGCAGAGTTGCAGCTGATTCTACAAGAATCTTGATAGTCATGTTTGCCCTACCAAATGTCACTACGAAAAGCCTGAGTTTCACGACTATGGGATTATAAGATATCTACCTAGAGTCTAATGAATTAAAAGACTTCTCTTAGCAACATATATAGTATGATATTCTACTTTCCATGAGAAATTTGTAGTCACATAATTAGTTACTACTTGGAGTCAGTTTGTTAGAATGCTCCATCTCATCATATTTTGCCCTATGCAGTCAAGGAAATAGGGATGGCTGTTAGCCAACATCCTATTGAAATCATTATATGCTTTTTCTTGAAAGGAACTTGCTAGCGGAGCTCCGATACTTTTTTTTAATTTTGCTTCAGGGGTACTAACCCCTATCTTCTGGACTCAATCGAGAACTTTAGGGATATCAGTTGGTATGATTGCTTATCAAGAAGGATACCATTCTCCAGTTCTCCCTTTGGAAAAAAGGAAAAGAAGAAAATGTTGAACTGCCATGTTCTAACAAGTGGTATAACATCAATATCAACGTAACCATCTGGACACTTGTCAGATGTGTTTATGAATGAATTCAAGGCTGTCCACTTGCCCTAAGCCGCTCTGATGAAAGTCTCAACTTAATCATTGTTGAAACATATCCTGCCTTGACGATTCTCTCAGATTACATCTCCTCAGTGATTGGAGAGCAGCATAGGCAGTTGTAGGCCTTCCAATATGACAGCTACTGTATTTAAAAATTTTAAAATATCTTTGGAGGTGGTTACTTATTCATAGTCAACAAGGATCACCAGAAAGTGGATGTACCCCGTTCATTTTTGCACCTCATTCTCTTAGAGTATACCACTGCTTTAACATGGTTATTGAGAAGGCTTTAGACAACATGAATTTGGAGACTGAGTGCTTTTCAAGTGATTGACAGAGTCATTTTGTTTAATTAGATGCACTAATATTTTCCATATTTACTGTCCTCTGTTTATATATGGGGAATATATGCCTCCTACTCATTGGAGGAAGGGAACCTCATCATTCTTGACTTTTTGTCAACTAAATTATGTGGTCCGTGCTGGTTCTCTTCATGCTTTTGAGGTAGGGGGCCAGGGGATTCACCAGATAGTTACTCAGCAAAAATTTCTAGGTATTAAATTTTATTTTATCTTGGAAAAAATTAGTGTCCAAGTTGAACAATGGTTGTCTATCTTCAGAGTTCAGCTTTAATGACGTTTGTATCATTTACAGTGGTAGATATTGGCTCTTAATGTAAAAACAGGTCATTCAAAGTCTTTTGTACTTGTAGCAGCACATTTTGACTGGCAATTAGTTGAGAGATTCTAATAGAATGCTTACTTAAATATAATAGAAAGTCAACACTGGGCTAGGATATAGTTTAGCACATAGAGGTTGCTCATGACTTCTTGCTCCTCTTGTTCCAATATTTGTGAAAACTCAACGGAATGTTGGCTGACATTATATTATGTAATGTTGGCTGACCTATGGGGTTCTCAATGCTTATTGAACATTATTGTGCTATTGAAATGGCAACTAGCTGCAACTTGGGCAGGCCATCCTTGGCTAGCCCAAAATTTGGGCAGATTGGCTGCCCTTTTTTAGCTAGGGCAGATGAAAAACTGAATAAGTCCAACCTGACCTCAAGTATGATTGGGCTTGGGTAAAGATCTCAGACTGAACTTTAAACAAGTTATTTTTTAGTTATTTATAATAATCTACTAGACCTAGGAACATAAGCCTTGCTGCTTAAGATCATTATTTTTGCAATTCACACATCAAAAAGCTTTGTTTCTAAAAATACTAGGAAATGCAAAATTTGCACATCATGTTCTTCTTGTGAACAATTTTTGTTGCTTCTTTGTGGTAGGAAACAAATGAAAATTTGGAGGATGCCAGCAATGAGCTAATTTTATCTGATGAGGACATTGTGAGGTTCCAAATCGGGGAGGTGTTTGCTCATGTGCCACGCGAAGAAGTTGAAAACAGATTGGAAAAGATGAAGGAGGATGCCAGCAAGGAACTCGAAAAGCTAGAGGAAGAAAAGGAATCCATCCTTGCGCAGATGGCTGAACTGAAGAAGATCTTGTATGGGAAGTTCAAGGACTCCATTAATTTGGAGGAAGATTAGTTGGGACTGTGATGCTTTTTCCCTGTTCCTTAAATCCTTTTTTTTTTTCGCGATTCTCTACTCCGTATTGTGTGTGCACTCCTTGATGAATTGAAACCCAAAACATGGTACTCGAGCTTAGAGTGAGCTGTCAGAAATTTATTTTGATGGCTGCAAAAAGATCTCTGACCTTATGTGAAAGATCCTGACATGATCCAACATCTAGACATCTTTATTATGCAGAAGTTTTGCACATACAATCCTGAAACATTTATGTTTGGATATATACTACTGCAACTGTGATTGTATTTGTAGTATCCCAGTTTATCTCATTTTGATATTAAGATAAAGATTGAATTATAAAAATTTGATGAACGTATTATTATTAATTTTAGTTAAGTATTTTGATTTATGGTTTGAGTTTAATAAAATTAATAAATTAATTATCTTATTAGATTGTGACAATTGATATTAAGTCTTGACGAGGATATTAAATCTTGATAAGGATATTAAGCTTGACGAGGATAAGGATATTAAGTGATATTAAGCATGAGGGATCATATTATGATTTGATAAGGATATTAAGTCTTGACGAGGATATTAAGTTTTTAAGATGAGAAGATATAATATCTCGATCCAAGCTCATTTTCAAGTTAAGATTAAGATTAACTTATAAATATATAGTAAATATATTATTATTAATTTAACTTAAGTATCTTAGTTAATAGTTTGAGTTGAAGAAAGTTAACAGGTCAGTTATCTATCTGATCGAATTGTTACAGAAGTTATGTCAGTTCTAACACTATTTCAACTTTGATATAGATTATTTTTATTAAATAAGGAATTGTGATGATATAGTCATACTCTTCATTGAGAGATATCTCATACTAGATAGAAACAAGCTACCGGCATCTACCTTCACTTGTATATGTACTCGGAAGAAACTTAAAGGAAGCTATTGACGCAGATAGCTTCAGCATGAACATGAAATTAAACGAAGCTGTTGTGTACTACTCTTCTCATCAGCATGAATTGTTTGAAGACATCTGCCACAATAAATTTCAGACATACTTCAGTTTCTTCGTTATTAATAGCAAAAAAGTTATTGAAAGTAGATATGAAATTATAACTAATACATGCATTGTTTTTTTTACAATAAGCTTCGGCACAATGATATATGGTGGCTATATTTTTAAGTGATGGAGGATTTGTTAGGAAGAGTCCGCACTAAGAGAGGGGAGGGGGTGAATTAGAGTAGCGAAAAAAAAGCACATCGGTTTAAAATTTCATTTTCATTAAACCCAATTCGGACAGATATTAACTTAAAAGTGTACGGAAGCATAGTGAAAGCAATAAGAAGATAAAACAGTTTACGGTAAAGATAAATTGCTCAAAAAAAAAAAATGAACCAATTTATAGTGGTTCGGTTACTGTGACCTATATCCACTTCTGATTCCTCCTCCGTCGAGATCATCGGCTTCCACTACCAATCTTTCTTTAATAGGCGAAGATTAACTATCCTTACAACTCGATTCTCCTTTTGACAGGTTTATGAGAGAACCTTTGCAACCCCTGTCACTTCTCTCTTAAATAAGACTAACACTTAAAGCTTCAAATGAGTTCTCACAAGGAGAATCGAGTTGTAAGGGGTATCTCAATTCTTGTGTATGTTAACCAGGGATGAGAGGGGTATCTATAGGCCTCAAGTGGATTCAAACTTGGAACCTAAAAGTGTCTCATCCTAGGTTTCTCGGGTCCTGACGGTACCACTGCCTAGCACCCTACCACTGGGCGGTACCATCGCTTAGTCTAACAGTACCACCGCTTGACAATCTCTCGAAGACTGTGTCTGGGCGATACCACCTCCTGACACAATCTTGGAGATTGTGCCATGATGGTTCTATCTGTTGGGTCACTGTTTGGGCCTTTCACTTGGCCCAACATAGCTTAAGCTTGGACCCAATTGACCCCTAATTGAGTTGGTCATGTTAGGAATGAGTCGACACTAAGAGGGGAGTGTGAATTAGTGCAGCGGTAGAAATTAAGTCAGTTTGAAAATATCGTTACGATTAAACCCGTTTCGGAAGATATTAACTTGAAAGCATACGGAAGAGTGTAGTAGATGTAAAGCAAGTAAAGAAAGGCAGTTTGCAGTAAATGTAAATTGCAAGAAGTAAATGCAAACCGAGTTATAGTGGTTCGGTCATCGTGACCTACATCTACTCCACCGATTCCTCTTCCGTCAAGGCTACCGGCATCCACTAACGGTCTTCCTTCAATAGGCGAAGACCAACCACCTTTTATAACTCGATTCTCCTTCTACCGAGTTTAGGAGATAACCCTTACACCCCCACTCACTCCTCTCTTAAACTATTCTAACACTTAGAACTTTGAGAGGAGTTCATATAAGATTACAACAGCGTTTCTTTCTTTTTCACTCTCAAGTCTTGTGTCTCTTAACCAGGGATGAGAGGGGTATTTATAGGCTTCAAGTTGATTCAAACTTAGAGCCTAAAAATATCTCATCCTGGGTTTCCTGGGTAAGGGCGGTACCACTGCCTAACACGGGCGGTGCCATCATTTGGCACCCTACCATTAGGCGGTACCACCTCCTGCAACCTCTCGGAGATTGTATTTGGGAGGTATCACCGCCTAACACAGTCTCAAAGACTGTGCCACGACGGTTTCACCTCTTGGGTCACTGTTTGGGCATTTTCATTAGGCCCAACTGATCCATAATTGGGTTGGCCCAATTCCAATCTCAAGTATATGCTAACTTCGAATTCTAAGACATTTACTAAGCTAAACAAGTTCATAAGTCTAATTTCTTTCGGCGAGCTTCCGACAATCTTCCGACGAACTTCCGACAATCTCTTGGCAATGTTCCAGCAGACTCCTAGAAAGCTCCTGGACTTCACGACGATCTTCTTGGCAAGTTCTGACGAGCTTCTTTAGCAAGCTCCTGGACTTCTTGGTCAATTCCGATAGAACTTCTGATGAACATTCGGACTTCCGACGAACTCTCGAACTCCCAACAAAATTACGTTCTTGACTCCGGGACTTCATTTTACTTTATGCCTTGCTATCGTAGTTAATCCTGCACACGTAAAACACATTTCGATCTAGACAATTATTACTAAGCATGAATCATGTTGTTCGGCATGTCATTAGTTCATCGACGCTTCGTCCAATTCTTCGGCACATCGTCCTCTCTTACGGCCTATTGCCCAATCGGTCAGTTCACCTTTGCAACTCTGATATCCTTGGTATAATATTCACTCTTCTTGGCCCGATGTCCGAACTCATGGCCCGAAGCCTTCTGTCAATATGACGACCGATCCTTTGACGTGATGTCCAATCTTCTGACATGTTTCTCTAACCCAACATGATTCTTCCTGCTTTAAATGTCTCTCCCTGATCGAAGCATCCTACGTCACTCAAAACGCAGATCAAATCATAAACACTTATCAATTGGTTTCATCATCAAAATACGAGATTCAATAATCTCCTCCTTTTTTATGATGACAACCAATTGATGATGGAGTTAACCTTAACTCCCCCTATCAACATGCCATATTGATAGAACATTGAATTCAAGCCGAATTCAAGTCATTGCAAATTTTATCATAAATATTTACAACACCTCATCATGCATAACATGATCATTCTTCTCCCCCTTTGTCATCAACAAAAAGGAGAAATATAACTTTCAAGTGTTTGGACATACAAGTTCAAATCATTGCATAATAAACATAATCTTCATTTTTATCATCATGCAAGCTAGCAAAAATTTTGAGTTTTATAAGTTTGTAAATTTTGCTAGATGTGCAAGTTTAGCATATTTTACTTCTTGAGATAGGCAAGATAGCACTTTTGCTTCTCTTCATATTGCAAGCTAGCAATTCTTGGTGATGTTCAAGATAGCAAGTTCTACATCATGTAAGCCAGCAAATTTTTACATCATTTTAAAAAAATGTAAGCTAGCAATATTTGAGATGTTCAAAAAAGCAACTTTTGCTTCTTGAAATATGTAAGTTAGCGATATTTGCTTCTCTTTTGAGATAAGCAAGCTAGTATGTCTTTGCATCTTCTTGACTTGTGCAAGCTAGCTATCTCCCCATTTGTCATTGTGAAAAAGAAGGGATGAATACAATTTTGTATCTATTTTTCCCTTTACAATAATTTTTAAAGCATGACAAGGATAAATAACAAAGATATAAAATCAAATCATGAATGTCAAAACAGTTTTTTATCATGAATATTTCATCATTGCATGCATCATTATCATATGTTGAAGTATTGCATACATAATACCAAATCATCATGTATATTTTTAAAATATAAAATTATCATTATATGCATGATTCCAAATCATCATTCATATTTACATTAATATTCCAATCATTATTTCAATCATTAAAAATGAAAGATAAGTCTAAAATTCAAGAAATCAAGATCATAATCCGAAAATTGTATAAGAAGAATTTATGCATTTGGGAGATCTAACATGTCTAAGTTTATTATTCAAGCTAGCAAACTTGGTTCTCTTGAGATGTTAGCTATTTTCTTTCGCCCTTTTGTCATTATAAACAAGAAAGAATAAGGGAAGAACATAATGGTGTAAAATATTTCAAGGCATACAAGCCATAAATATAAAGAGATCATGTCATGAAAGATAAGACAACTTAAATAGCAAAAGACATGATTCATATAGTAAATCTCTTCTTTCAATAAAATACCAAGAAGAATCATAGGAGAACGATTAATGAAAAATATTAATTCATAATAAATCTTAATTTGTAAATATGAAGGAATCAAGATTATGATTTGGATAAAAATTTATTCAAATTTTCAAAGTCCAAGAGATTCGTAAAAATGATACAAATAGGTTCATCAAAATCAATAAGATAGAAAAAAAGAATTTTCAAGAAAAATATTTTCCTCTTTTTAGTTGTTTCAATTCATATGATTTATTTCATTTATACTAAATAAAAACATGTATCATGTTTAAAACTGAAAGTGCAAGATTTATTACGACAAAGATCAATAAGGCATAAATCACCCAAAAATCACCATTATTTCAAATCATCATGCATAATTTCAAAAGATAAATTCATTTAGCATGATCATTATGCATCATTACATTATTTTATCAAGCATGATTTTATAAAGTATTTTCAATCAAAAGTAATACGAAAATCATTAAGATACACACTATCATTAAACCATCTAGCATGATTTAAGTCTAACATTTTGTTCCTTTATCATAACACATACAATTTTC